TTGTAACACTTGATTCTAAAATTTTCAACTTATATTTAACTTTATGAATATATAAAATCCATTTTATTATTTAAAATTAAGGTTAGAACAATTGTGAAACTGTTTTCTTAATTAGTTGTCTCAATAATGTGTACAAAACAAAACAACACGAAGATGTTTTTTGTTTTATACATTTTTAAAGGCTACTTTGCGTTTGATTATTGCTATTGTTATTGTTTTGTGGAAAGTAAAACGAAGTCGTTAGTTTATAAACGCAGTACAACATTACAAGTAAAAAAGTATAAAAAATAATATAGATAATGATTGTAATAATTATTTGTACCGATAAAAACTACCTATTATATAAAAAATGGAAAATAATAAAACTTACCGCAATTACTAGTTGCAGTATTATTTCTACTAGATGGCATCGGCGTATTAGTATAAATTGACTGCTCTGTCCTCCCATCATTCAATTTCATTGAGCTTGATGAATAATTGATAGAATGTGCGGGGGTTTTTTGCGACTTTACCAACGTATTTCCGACAGATGACGATTGATGCTTTGGCAGTGAAGCTGTGGAGGATAAAGTTGAAGAATTTTTCGATGTCTTAGCCTTAGGATAACCTGTGAGAGAGGACAAGGATAAGGGTGAATAAGGTAAATCGGCAGGATTTGGTAAACCAGGAAAATTTAGACCTGAAGCTTGCAAACGGGCAAGGTAGTCCTGAGCTGCCAAATGTGATGCCATGGACCACCATGCAGCACCTAAACAAAACAAAAAAAAATAATGTATATTTATTTCCAAAATAGACTAATATTAGAATTAAATTAGTTAAATGTTTTATTAAACCTGGACGTCTCGTCCTTTTTTGTTATAATTAGTAATACAGGTGGAAATAAAGAACAGGGCCTACAGGTCTCTGAATAGGCTTAGGTTCAGTTAGCCAATAAGTCGTGAGTTTTACGAGTAACTGCAATTATTCAATTATTGTACACTTACTGGCCGCGGGTATCCCCAAACTCGCGGCTTGACTTGCTGCAACCGATAGTGTATTTGAGTAAGCATTGCTATAGACGGCTGCAGCGCTTGTGGCTGTTGGATACGAGGGCATTCCTCTGCTGGAAGTTGGAGGCAACATTCCGAACGGTAAAGAGGGATGGGGTGCCAGGCCGTATGCGCCTCCCGTGGCCGCAAAAAGATTGGCCGCGTTGGCAGCCGCAGCTGCTGCAGCTGCACCACTAGATTCGCTTCGAGGCCAATAAGCTGAAAAAAGAAATAGAATCTGTTTTAACTAAACACAGATTCAAAACCGCAAAAAAAAAACATCGCAAACAGTTCAATTGAGTATATT